TTATAAAAGCAGCAACAGCAAATTTTATTGCATAATAAGCAGTTGAAATTACAACCGTCAACTTTTCGGCTAATTAACTAACTGAGTGAGCTCATAACACTGTAAGCAACAAAACAAGCGCATCGTATATGTAATGTTTACACTTGGAATGCTTTACTGTATTTAAACTGATAGATAATTATAATTCATAGATAGAGAATATTGCAATTAATGCTACTACCACTGCTCCTGCTATTGACACCCTTATTAACAGTTGCTTCTTTGATAACTTTTGTTGCTCAAAAGTTACTGATATTTTATGAGCTACGCTTTTGTACTAATTTCAGTATCGTAACGGTATTATATCATATCACTTGCAATGAGTGCATTCGGTTCCAGCACTATGATCCGTGATCGACATCAACTGTTTTCAATCAGAAATTCTAAACTAATCATTTATTAGAATATATGTCTCGAGATTAAATGCATGCGACATATTCTTAAAAAGTAAGACTTATTGATGAGTTAAGCTGAGTACTATCTTTGACTTTTAAATTTATGCTCAAATTTTGGCGCTAAAGTACCTTAATTTTTTTCCTGACATTGTAGTAATCTTTCCATTAGTCCAACTTTTTTTGTTGATTAAAGATGAAAATTTCCAGAACTACATAGTGAAGTAACTTATTTGTTATCACTCATTCTTTCATAACCTTTCGTGATCTTTTTTCAACTTTTCTTCCTTTATCGGCTTCTATCTTCTATGTTACACTGTAGAATCCTTAAAAGAATTTATAATATTTGAATGGTGATTTATAAAGGTGCATCTTTTAATTCAGTTCATAAGTTATTTATTATTGTATCAATTTAGTTTAAATGAAAATAATCGAACAAGTAAAATATATAGATAGAGTTAATTTATAATTTCAAAATTAAACCATGAAAAGAGTAAGAATTTTCTGTCTTTTCGAAATACATACGCTTAATGCATCTTTTTCAAATCAGCTATGGAAATAATTGCAGTTTTATAATGACAAGCATCTTTATTACGGCATATATCCCACAAATATTAATTAGCTTAATTAGTAACAATGAAATTGGTCCAAATAGCTATACTGAAATTTAATGAAAATATTGTGAGAGTATGGTTGAAAGATCATACTGTATAACAATTAAATTGAAAGTATATTAATCTGAGCAACTCTGCTGCAAATAGTATCTGAAATGAATTGAAAAAATAATATAACGTTATTAATAATATTTGCTTAATAATTTTTTAGTGATTGTTAGCAATGATTAACATTTTGAATAGCAACAATTCTTAAGCTTTCTTCTATTTTATAGGTTAGATTGAGACACGAGCATTTCTATGGCATACAATGATCAGTAAGTGATAGGAAGCAGTCCTCCTCTTCAATCAACTGTTTACTTTTGGAGAAGCTTTCAGGCATTGCTATTCCTCTATCACTTTTTGTCCATATCAGCATCAATAGCTACTTTTCTTTCCTTGATATATTCATCACCATCATCATCATCATTATCATCATCACTATCACCATCATCGAGGAAGCATTACTGGAGCGAGACAGTTATCCGTACACATGCACAGCTATATGTACACACATACCCGAACATACATATACAGACATACATGTATATTCACTCATTCGTAATCAATATGCCCAAAACAAGGGTGGAGTTTTGAAATTCGGGGATTTATGGCAAAGCGGAGGAAGAGGGAATCAATGGAAGGGGAGAGGGGAAGGGGACGAGGTGATGGTGAAGTGGGGGTGGAAGAATTAAAATGCAACAAAATTCCATACCAATACGTTGAGCTCTTCCCTCTATAGTTTAATTTATGATCGCTAAGCTGCTTGCTCCTGCTTTTTCAATACTGTTAACCAGTAGTGATATGCAAGGTGTAAATAGATTCAGTAGCTCTCGTATAGCAGGAGATATTTCTCAGAATTAGGAATTATTATTGTTGATTGTTATTGCCATGATAATATAATTATCATAGCTATTGCTCTACATATTTCATTTTCTATAAGCTATTCTTAAAATAATTTCTATATTGTGATTGTTCTTACATAACTTTATAGAAATTTTGCTGTTGACAGTCATTCATGGTTCATTTGTAGCATAAATCTTACCATAGCAATGGTATATAACGAATAGTAATGAGAAGATATGCAATGCTAGTAAAAAAGCTGGTCTTTACGAAAATTTTATTTCTGTTGCTTTTCAACAATTATTTATGAAGTGAATTAAATTTCTTACAAAATACTGAATTGGCAAATGCAATGCACAAATAATCACATTCTGTAGAATTTTGATATTACTTCATCGCATTCAATGAACAAACGAATACATGTAATGTTACGGAATACTGTTTTTTTTTTCCTTTGTTACTTTTAATATTCAAAAAAATGTCTTTCAAGAATTGATAAATAAGGAATGGATGAAATTATAAACGGATATTAATTCGTCATTCTTGTGTAAAATGGATAGATGCTCAGTTCTGTTAGAAAGCAATTAAAGGATAGCTAATTGATTTAATTTAACAGGTTTCATAATATTGCTAGCAGCTGTTTTCGAACGAATACTGGACTTTCAAGTATTCAAATGATTATTGACACTTTTAGTCAGTGTACCAAATTGCGATGCTGCAAATAATAATGACAGGACAATGTAAAATAGCTATAATTCAGCGAAATTTCTTCTCATTTTTATTAGAAAAGTATTATTTTTTTTTCTAGAATAACATGATCCGGCTTTGTTGCTTCCACCAAATCGTCATCATTAAACTTCTCTTATAAATTAATTTGGACCGCAAAACTTGATTTTTACTTATTATCGTTATGTTTCTTTCTTTTCTTGTTTTTTTTTTTTTTTTTAAATCAACTTTCATGATATATGAACTATCGCTATATCTTTTTTTCACCTTTCACATCATTACATTTTATTTCTTGCATATTCAATAGCAAATGGATGAAACTGAATGGTAGGAAGTGAATGAGAGCTACTGTGCTATATGCTATCATTTTTGCGCTTGTGAAATGCATTTCTAAAATTATTAATTGCGAAAGTGCTAAATTATTGGCCGTTAATTTAACTTTTCTGATCCTTCTTTAAAATGATATAAACTACTGTACATAACATATTAAACATCGCCAATATCTTTCAAGCAATAAAACAATAGAGCTTAAGAAGCTAGCAGCTATTAAACTTTTGCAATCTAGCAAAATTTATTTCAGACTTTAGATCTCTTTGAAAGAAAAGGGAAAAAAGAAGGATAATTGATGAGCTAGTAAATATCGATGATAATTTTTTTTTCTTGGACACAGTTTATTAATATCTATTAGTGGACATTGATAAGATTGTAATAACTCGATATCTTATCAGTGAAATGTTAAAATAGTAGACAGCTGGTTATCACTTATTATCCAACGATAAGAAGTATGGAACATAAATAGAAATACTTTTTATTCAGTTCGACAGACATTGAATAAGGAAAATGAATATGATAAATCTCGATATAAGCGAAGGAAAAGTTTCATGTCTTCCTACTGAGAGCATACATATTGTAATTCACAACGATTGAACAACCAAACAATGATAAATCTTCCAATCAAAAAGAAAAATCTTTTTGCACGGCAAGATATGATTATTTGTAAAATTTCGTCTTCATTACTATTATTATTTTTTTGATATACTATTCCCTTGTGATAGCTGTCAATAACTGCAGATTTATCACTTCTTCTCACCATTAATAAAAATTTTTTATTTAAAAACCAAATAATTTTTTGATGTTTGATCTCTAGTCATCAGATTGATTTCAGTATAATTTGAGTAACAAGTAAACGATTCCATTATTATCACTGTTTTCAAGATTATCACTAATATCATGATTAGCAATCAATCAATAACCATTACTTCTAATATGATTTTTTGAAAATTCTATCTTTATCTTTACAATCCATAATTCTTCCTTCTTTTTTAAATCAAATAGCGTTAGAGTAATTGCTAAAATTGTTGGTTGTTTTTATCAGATATGTTAGCAGTTATTATTGCATTATCATTATTGTTATCGTACTATTTATCATTACCACCAGCGACATCATCTTTTTGGTAATCGGCAGTGGCATTTAACGAAGAAAGCGGTGTATGCGTATATGTGTGCGCACTTGCAAGAAGCGGCTTTCACCTTCATTTCCTTTTCGATTTTCACTTCTTCCTTTTCATCGTCTTCAAAAATTTGTTCCAATCCGCTAAAACCAGTTATGATTTGTCGCTCACTACTGCTGCTCCTACTTATCTGTACCTTTTTTGGTTGTTTGGTGATGGAGTGTAGCAAGGAGAGTCCTTCTCCTCTTCCACCTTCATTTTCACATCTCTCTCTTTCATTTTAGCCCTCTGTAGCTGGCTGCTCTTCAACCTTTTTTTGAAATACTTTCTTCTTCATCTCCTTCAACAACAACAACAACAGCAGCACCATCACCGACAACCCTAAATGCTTCCTTCTCACATCATCTCCTTCACCAATGTCATCCCACAATACGGCAACAGGTGAAAGTTACATAAATGCTAACGTTTATTGTTAAAAATTCGATTTTATACTATCTTCTTATAACTGTCATTTTTGAAATTATTTCACTGCTATATTTTTATATGACGAAATGATCATATCAGTATCAAGACGAAGATAATCATATCAGGATGAAAAGGATAGTTAATGTGCTATTCATATCAAACACTTCAATAGGACATCAAAAAATTATCACTAGTAATATTAGCGCATAAATCTTCAACAAGCTACTAAATAAAAGTGAATCATTTCAATAGGTGCATATTTTAAGTTCATACAGTCAAATTCTTAAATGAATTTAATGAGAATTCGATGACACCATCACCATCATCATCACCACCACCAATAACAACATGAATTACCACTGATGTCTCATGTCTACAGTAAACGGATAACATAAATACTAGCAATTAGCCAGAGTACGGTAGCAAAGTGGATGGTCCTATTAAGTTCGTGACAGCCGCTCATATCCTCAGAAGTGCGGATAAATCCATCTTAGACGCAGGAGGCGTGGCTCTTCCTTGACGGTATCTTTGAGGCCTGAAGTCTTTAAGGGCGGGGCCACGAAAGATGGATGGCTCGACTGCCTACAGATAGATAGATATGTATCGCTCCCCCAATTCTATCTATCCTTGATTTAATCAGACAGTCAGCGACCGGGGTGGCTCAGTTGGCAGAGAGGAGGGAGTCAGTGATCAGCGCCTCGGATAGGGTAGAGCTGCTCGTGCTGCTGTTGCTGATGCTGATGCTGATGTTGGTGATGGTGATGGTGATGATGCTATGACGGTGACAGTGACGGTGACGGTGACGATGATTGTGACGGTGAGGTGATGATATTTCCTTCCTCTCCTCATCCACTTGCTTATCTGTGATAGGCACTGATAACGTGATAATAAACCATCCATCCATCCATCCATCCATCTATCCATCCATTCATTCATTCATTCACTCATTCATCCAAATTCAATCATTAGTTTATTATTTCGGCCATCCCTCACTATCATTCTTATCAGCAGAAATAGCAGCAGCAGCTGTTTAATTCCCAATACGTCGGCCACCTTTTTATAATAATCACTTTCGTCTCGTACCGTTTCCCTTCCTAATTCTTAGTGTCAACAATGAACTAACTAAGACTATGTCTAACAGATTACCTGCTATTGTATAATAATGATAATATCATTTCCACCTTGTTTTAAAATTTGCAAAATTTTTCAAAAAGATACTGCAATTTAAAATGCTTCTCTTGAATAGCTAATTCTCGAAATTTTGAATCTTATAATTTTATCTTATTGAAGTTTTCTTTATTGTCAAAATGATATTAGCTTGATTCTAGTGAAATTTAAAAACTTGAATTTTTCTAACTTTCATTTATATCACTCAATCAAATGCTACTCAATTGGATTTTGTTATACTTTAATGACTAATTTAAAAATAATTTTACTAGGAAATAATTAATATGGCAATTTTTTGCTATCTTTCTATCAACGAAATTATACTGTTTTTCTTGTTTACGGATAATTATCAAATTTATAAATTTGTTTTTTGCAGTTCGATCTCATCTTTACTCATCTTTACATAATGCTTGGAAGTTTTTTGAGAAATATCACAAAACAGATAGATACTGATAAGTATATCAGTGTGTAGGAGATATTCGGTAAATTTTCGTCATTTTTAGAAATAAAACGTTATAAAATTTTTTTTTATTATGCATAATAATTGCTTTTACAATTCTTGCTGCGAATTACTATATTACTGATACTGATATTTCCTGAAATGAATTTCAATTTCTCTCGGTAAATGCAAATTGCTAAATTTTCTCAAAGAATAAATAGAAAGTGGTAGTAAAAATGAAAACCAGGGATATTTTTAATAATTGAGAATTGTAAGTTTTTTTAATCATTAAAAAATTTACTTTATTGTATTACAACGATTATGCATTCTATTCTCAATTTATGTCAATATCTTAATTATCGAAATTTTCGAAATTATATTTCAAGTTGTCGATAACTCAGCAGTGCATAAAACACTTTGACATCTCGAAAGATATGAAATGAGACATCTTATTGGATATTGGCTGTCTTGATAGATATTACGAAACGAATTAAAATATCTGTTGCGGAATTTGGAAGAAAAACAATTATACTACGTGATATATTTCAGGACAATTGACTGAGAAGACGGGCTAAAATCACATTTGTTGTTGTCAACACTAATATTATCACAGACCCCGTCACTCTCTGGTCCTTATTTAACTTAATCTTTCTGTCTCCGATCGAAATTTTAAACTATTTCGACACTTTTCTTCTTTTCTTTAAATATATTGTCCCAAACAAGTAAGTCGTACGAATGATTTTTACCATTGATTAATATCGATTTTAAGAGTATTAGTTTTAATTATATTAATCAATTATGAAAAACGATCCCTATATTGATCTGTTGATCAGATCTTAGAACTGCAGTGAGCATTCCCGAAATATATTGCTTCGAGAGTGGGTGATAAAAGTATGACTTCTATTTCATTCGTTCCCATTCCTAATTTTTTTTCAACGAATGAACTCTTTGATTTGCGCTCTTTGATCAATCGATCTGAATTAACAATTTCTAATATCTGAAGTACTTCAGATTCTAATAATTGTTTAACTTTTTTTTCGAACTTTTATGTGTCAAATTTTTGCTTTGTTAATATCAGAATTTCTAGAAAGAGCTGGATTTCCTGCGAGTCACTCGAAAGGATTCAGAATCCCGCTCAGTATGAGTATGTTTCCGGTGCGCGTTGTGGTGGAATCGGTTCGACCGCAACATTGTCTCACCTGCGCACGTGATGGCCACATGCTTGTCGATTCTTACGCAATTGTCTCCGGTGCGACTTTGCTCAGTCAGCTGGTCGATACGGTGCTTAGTGCTTTAGGCATGCCACAGTTGGCCGTTAATTCAAAAGGTTCAGCTTACTTTTAATTCATCTTGTAAATGGAATGCTTTTAAAAAGTAATATTCAATGACATGTAAAATTTTGCAGAGTAAATTAATAGCATTTTATTATATGCTTCAAAAATTATATAATAAAATCTTATTGATTGATTATTTTTAAAAATCTCGAGAACATTCATTTCTTTTACACTAAAATATACTTCATTTCTTGCAATTTTCTTTAAGCAATGATATAAACTAGGCTTATCTGGTATTATCCCTATTGTTGTTTAAATTCAAGCCAGAAATTACATCTCTTGGCTCCTGGCAGTAAAAGTAGCAGGCTGCGGTTTATGTTTGGCAATACTAATCTCCTTAGAAGAAGCTAAAAGCTATTATGTCCGTTTATCGTTTCTCTTCCGAAAATAATTCAAGTATAGATTAACTGGGATTTCAATTTCTCCATCAAATTTAAATATCAATCAACAACAACATAATCGTTTCTTTTTTCACTTCACTCAAATTTCATGCTTACTTTTGCACTTTTTCTAATTTTTGATTTAAGATTTAAATTAATTTTTTAATTCAAATTAATTTTTTGATTTAATTAGAAATTGTCTAGCATTTAAGGAATCGC